AAATCTTCAAGCTTACGAAAATGCTACAGTTTTAATAAACCAACTCTAGAATCTGATAGTGCAAAAACTAGAAAATGAACATTATAAAAATACAAAATTTATGAAGTTGTTTTAACAGCAGTTATACCAAAATCATTAAAAAATTACCATTACTAACTTTACAGACTTCCAAGTTTATAAAGATATTATTTTATGCAGTTCGTGAATAAATGTTTATCTTTACCAAATAAGTTTGGTAACAAGCATAAAAAAGTATACAAGATTTTACATAAAAATCAAGAAAACATGTCATTTGTTTTGCACATTGGTGTTAAAAGACTTACATATTGGCATTTTTTGTTTTTACTGTAGAAAAAAAAAGAAGAAGAAGAATGAGCTAATTAACAACCCTGCCATTTATTTTTTAGAAAACTGTGGCCTATTTATCTAGACATACAAATGTCAACCCAACAGATGAAGACCCAACTACTGTAACAAGAAATCCTAGAGACACATTTCCTCAAATATTAAAACTGCATGATAGAAATAATAATTACAAAGACACAATTATAGTCAAAAACTGTTCATTACAAACACATATTTGTTAGCCTAAAGTTTCTGTTTGTGCAAGTTTCTATATAAATTTTAAAATATTTGAAAATTGCTTAAACTCAGCAACCTGTATTAATAAAACTGAATCTGGAAAACAAATTATGTTTTGTATTGTTGGCTGGTCTAAATTCGACTTTTTGGTTTAGAATTTTCACGCAAAGCAACACAGCTGCATCAGTGTTCTCTCTGCAAAGTCATCCCTAAGTTTGAAATGATAAACTAAAAACAGTACTCACCCCCCCCCAGAGTTTATTGGTTATTCTGTCTGATAGAATAGTGAAATTTGATAATCTTATAACATACCCATTATTTCTAAGTGGATAGCACATTACCAAGACAAAAGTACATAAACCCTCAGTTTCACACTCCAGGCATAATAATCAGTAGGTTATGCCTAGTAATTAGCAGTTTCCAGAATAATTTATATATGCTTTCACAAAAGAAAGCCTTCTGTGGAAAAAGCAATTCATTTTTTTTCAGAAAAGTGAGTTACAAATTCAATATTGTTTATACATAATGATCAGGGCTATATAAATACACTACATGACAGTAACAAAGATGCAACTGAAACCATAGTATCATTTTGAAATAACTTACATTAAGGTTTGTTAAAATTATGAAAAATGTCATTTTCCTAGTTTCTCAAGGTATGAAAACTAGTCATTTTTCCAAATAGTAAGCTTCACAGATGTTAAAAATACAATTACTGTAATATTTAATAAGTGTAATATTTAAATCAATGAGACAATACAAAGATGACAGGTAGAATGGTTTAATTAATTATCAAGTTAGCTGACAAAATACAAAAAGAAAACTATGAACATAAATCATTGGCACAGTTCAATAATATGCACAATTTGATAAAACTTCAGGCAGACGCATTGGTGATTGGTCATAATAACTAATGTTTAGCAAAGTAGACCTCCATTAAATAGCAAGTTATTTTACTCTTAAACTTTGTTACATCAGGTTGAATAATGACACTACTGATACTTTGGTAAACATTTAAATTATAGACTGTGTGATGAAACTCACTGGAATTTTTATGTTAAGCTTTAAACAAGAAAGGTACTTAAAGACTTCTACCTTGACCAGTATTTGTGTAGGCCCAATGTAAATTGACATATAAACAACAATTCGACATTACAGTAATTGAATTACTAAACCTATATCCCTTTTCACCCATCCCACAGTTTACAATGGAGGACTTTAAACTTCTTCCCCTTAAGTGATTAAAAAAGAAAAGAAAAAGAATATGCATATAAAATTTATTCCACTTCCTTCTTACTGAATTCCTTTCTTTAACACTGCTAACATGACTAGCTCAATACCCATTTTTCATAATTGCTTATAGTTCAGGTCTTTACATTCTCTCCACCCCCACCCCCCCTCTAAGACAACACAGTAAGCTTTGCAACAAAATTATCAATACAAAGAAATAAATCACTGTGCCCAGAAAAATAATTATAAAATACAAAAACTGTTTCTTGGAATCAAATGTTATATAACAAATCACTTAAACATTCAAGCTCCTGAAATAATCCATCCTGGGAAGTGGAACGCCCGTTTAACATCAGCCAATCTTACACCTAAAAATAAAGACAGAAATACTGGTGCAAGATTTCACAAAACAGATAAAAGTACAATCTAGAAATAATAGAAATGTAACTGCATGTCCTAACTCTCTATCCCTCTCTGTGCATGTACTTCCTGCCAGCATAAGTACAATGAAGGTACTAAACTATAATGCATGTACATAAGAATGTAACCAATATATTTTCAGTGGTAATACAACTGCAAAAAATATTATACACTACATATTTGTACTTCCACAAAGTTTCAGTATAGTATTTTGTTTTCATATATACAAAACACTGGTGTAATAGACAAACTATATAAATCTATAAAAACACTATAAACACACATACATGCTTATTTATGTATTCAATATAACATGTTACTTCTAATACTTAAATAAGAGATTAACAATAGTTTTATGTCCTTGTTATCATCATCATCATCATCATCATCATAAGAGGACCTTATAATGAAAGCATAAACAAAACACAATTTAACTTCTGTTTATTCAACCCAGAAACTAAAGTTAAAAAAAAAAAAAAAAAAGTAGTAACAAAAGTATTAAATCACAATACTTACATGGTTACTATTACAAAATGTTTGCAGTCATCCATTGACATTATCTTCACAGTAAGATACTGGAATGTTTTTGTTTTAACAATAAAAAAGCAAATAGGTTCATAGACCTATTAACCATGCATAAAACTCTGTCCCTATTCTATTAGCTAACACTGTTGAAGCATTTGAAAACAATTAATCTCAGTGATGTTTTTATTCTAATATCAACAGTTTATTTATATTGCTTAACACCACACTTTAGATACAGTTAGTCATAGTATTGGATTTGTCACGCAATGCAAGCAAGTTATCAATATGAAGATCAGTAATTTGTGCAATATTACATCAATGTAAAATCGATAACTTTCTTCACTGCCCACATATGGTTTCCAACACTAAAGAGTTTTAATAGTATTTTAATTTATTACACAGGCCTGCAAATTTAAACTTCATAAAAGTTGTTTTGATTTTAGTAATGGATTTTTCCCATTATTCAGCTACGTAGATTTCGAAAACATTAATTTTTTTCTATCACTCTTACTTATATCAAACTATTATTTCAGTTACAAAAATTATTATTATTATATCTGTTATAAAAAAAAAATTAAAAAAAAACTAGAAAAGCTCCAGTACTGAGCAAAAGGCCCCATTAGCAACAATACACAAACATGCAAAGTGCAAGAATGAATGACAAAAATAATGATAATTTAAAGCAAGTAATAACGTCCAAAAAATCTGATATTTCTGACCTTTGTTCATAAGACACTATAGTCACTTTTTTCAAATTATAGAGGAAAAGAAAAACAATGCAAAACTTGGAGGTACTCAGTCATAAAATAATTTGACAAGGATGTGTACAACACACCATGTTGAAAATTTCATTAAAAGTGTTAAGAATATGTTTCTTGAAATGTTTGTTTTTGGACTCTAGCTTAATGATATATACTTTAATATTATAATATCAAAAATTTCTTTAGCCTAGTCCTGGACATTGTATTATAATTATTATTATTGCAAGATAACAAATAAAACCTTACTCTAGGTTTTTAAAACATAAAAAAACAAAAATTAAATACTTTCTTGAAACCTTAGAAATTAAGAAAAGCTCTATACTCCTTTAGCACTTGTGTTAATTAAATGTTCAATATTACCAAATGAAGTTAATTTTAATCAATCAATTTCTGATAACAGCAAGTTTTTTTTTTCACATTTTTTTTAGAAATCATGACAAGTCAAAAATTGGCAAATATCTTGCAGGTGCATGCAAGACTATCTTAACATTAAGAAAAAACCT